AATTTTTTACAACTATCTGCTCTTTATCAACGATCTTAAAATTATTACAAAAAAGAAAAAAAACTGCATAAAATGATCAAAAAAATAAACAATCTATTAATCTTAGTAGGATTAGAAATGAATAAAGACAAATCAGCTACAAACTTAATATTTTGCGAACAATACACTTAAAAATAGAATCTTGCAAAGGATGTAAGTATTTTATGATGATAAAAAACATTAGAAAAAAAAAATAGAAACTATAAACATTATTCTCGAAAATATTAAGAAAAAATATAAAATTTATGTAGTGTAAGAATTAACGCAAAAAATCTCCTTTAAGTGCTAAATATATATCATTATCTATAAAAAACACACTCTTGAAGTTATAGACGCCAACCCGACAAATTTAAACAAGTAACAAAATCATTTGTTTAATGCCAATAATATATCGCATAAAACAATAATCTGCCGGCAAAGCGAAAAGCTTTACTTGCACAAATGAATTATGTAGGTTAACAAACAATGTCGAAATTTTTAGTGAAAGAATTCTTTTACAGTTCAAAAATAATATCTACAGTACATAGTTATTTTTTAAACAAAGACGGGCAATAATAATCATAATGAATAAAACAAAATAATTTTTCTAAGAATCAGAATTTTCTTGAGGAAAAATATAAAACACATAAATTATTTATATAAATATGTTGGCAAAATTTTTTTAAAAAGAAAATTTTTAGTGAAATACGTAAATAGTGCAACCACTCAAAATTGCATAGACTCTCAGAAGACCCAGTGTTATGTATTAAATTATTCATTTGGCTGAAAAAAGTTAATATTGCGGCTAGAGAGGAAGTAGCACCTTGTGCGCTACAAAATAGAATCGTGTTTTTGATAAGACAATAAATGTTCTCACTGGTATGAAAATATAAACATAACTCACATGGCGACAGAATGTTTGTTTATGATTATATAGAAGACACAGCAGGACATTTAGAAGTTTTAATCTTTAATTATGTAAGAATCTTAAACAACCTCAAATATTAAAATTAGAAATTTTTTGGCTTTAGGACTACAATATTGGCAAATAGGAATATTAAAATAATATAGTAATTATAAAGTTTATAGTTACAACATTTGATTCCTTTACTTTATAAAAATTACAAAATACGTTGAAATAAATGTACATTGTTTTTTTGGAACTTTTTTGGTATCGGCCAAAAAATTTTTTTTTAGGTGGCAAAAAGAGGAATATTTTTTTTTGGTATCGACAAAAAATTTTATTGAAGACTACAAAAAACTTAATTTTTATTTCTTATGATACAAAAGTTATCTTTAAGTGAAAAATTTGAAATTAAAGCCTACTTCGAAATGGGCACAAAACAAAAAGAAATTGCAAAAAAGTTCTCGATGAGTCAATCAACTGTGTCTAAATTCACAAAAAAATTAATAAAACCGGACAAATTAAAAGAAAAGGAAAGTTGGCTGATCTTTATTGCTTTATAAAAATGATTTTTTTTTAAAAAAATAATAAATGCATATTCACAAGTTGGCAGTATTAAGTTTCTGTGAAACTTAAAAAACAATTAAAAAAGGTATATCTGCTCGATGTATACAAAAGCAGTTTTGTAAAAGGGGATTACATGGCAGGATTGCATTTTGTTGGAAAGCATTCTGCTTCTTGACTACACTTTAACGAAGACTAAACATTGTAACAACAATCTAGTTGTTATCGTGAATTGATCTGAAACAGTGTTTTAGAAAAAAACATATAAACATAACTTTAATCAATAAACATTTAATTTAAGTGCCAACACATTTAAAAAACCATTTTTGTCTAAAAAGCATATTTTTAAAAGAAAAATATTGATAAGCAAGCATGCTATTCTGATCAAAAATGGAATAAATATTTTCTAGTGATCAAAAGAAATAAACTTATTTAACTTTGATGAAAGAGTTTATGCGCGAAAAAAAGTTGTCTAAAGATATAATAAAAAACTCTAAACTTACAATAAGACATCTAGGTGGTAGTATCATTATTTGATCATGTTTTTTGAGTGCTAAGAATCGAAAAATATGTATAGGATGGTATAATGAATAACGAAGCATACTGTAGAATTTTAGACACATATCTTGAGGCTTCGAAAAAAAAGCTAAAATTAAAAAATTGTATTTGTAGCAAGATAATAATCCGAAATATACGAGTAAATGCACCAGAATAATATTTGAAAGATAAAAAAATTATAACTTTAGAATGCCTTGCACAATCTCCATACATGAATCTTGTAGAAAATTTATTGTATATTTTTAAGGTAAAAGTAGGAAAAATCAACCAAAAAAAATAAATGAATTAAAGAAATGTGTTAAAGAGGAGTGGAATAAAATAAATGTTTAAGTGTGTAAGAATCTGGCACAGAGCACGAACAGTAGAAGTAATAAATTATTAAGAGCGAAAGGTGGACATACTAATTTTTAAAAAAAATATTTATTTTTTTTGCCAACTACT